AGGGGGGGGGAGGAGGGAGGAAAGATGAGTGAGAAAAAGGGGCTATCGACGTGGTAATAATATTATTATGATTTGCATATTATTTCAAATAGCAGAAATAATTTGTTGACAGCACACTCTTCCTTTCTTCAACGGAGGACAAATAAAGTTTGTCTTTTCTTCTTCTTATTACGTCACTTTCTTCGGTCTCAACTGCCTAAATGAGAGTCAGCATCACATCAGAAGCAAAGACAATCTCAACTTCAGGGTTGGAGTATATGCGAGATAGTACACGTTCACGTACACGTTTGCCTGGCTCAACGGTTAATGTCTCAGGTTCGCACAGAGAGACACTAATATTGTGGCAACATGAGGATCAATGACCTGATGACAACACTGTCGCAAAGGAAAATAGAGAGAAAAAGAAATAAGGGAAGACATCTTGCATCAAACATTGAAAACGTAAAATCTGACAGTGATGAACAACTTCATGAAATAATACATCAAAGCAGAGACCGGGAAAGATAGAGGTATGTTTGTTGTGTCAAGGAATTGGGCACCAACGGACGAACATGGCCACAGTGACAGATGACAGGTGTCAGGTAATGAGGATCAAATGCAACAGAAAAAGCGCCCCCCCCCTTCCCCTACCCCTGTAAAAAAAACAACCAACCAACCCACCAAACAAACAAACAGACAAAGAAACAAAAAACCCAAACAAAACAAACAAACAAAACATCAACAAAAACCCAAACCAATAAAGCAAACAAACAACAACCCCCCCCCCAACAAACAAACGAAAAGACGAATCAAACTAGAACTAGTCAGGGTTAGGCCTACTACTGCCATCCCAAAACTTTACCTGAATGCCATGTTCCAGGCAGTACAGCTCCCAACAGGCATTGCCGATCTGTACACCAGCCTGGCCAACGTGGATAGAGATACACTCACGCTGTGGAACACAACAAAGTACACATGTTTCACCACTAAGTAGCACACTGGAAAATTTTTCGAACACTGAAAATTGGGGAAAGTGATCACTTTACAAAGACAGCTTAAAATGTGAGCAGAGATCAGGACTGCAAGTGCAAGTCAAATGTCCTCAAGCTGTTTGACTAATTTGTTCCCCCAGGTTGACGTGTGTATATCGTTTAGAAGATTATAACCATAAGTAAGCCGGCAAACTGCAAAATAGGCCTAATAATGACAAAGTAAGAAGGCACTACACCACAACTGCATCATGCCACCCCCCCACACAACTACTTCCGTCAAATAAACACTTGGTCACTAAGCCTACTCTGGAAACTTTCCTGATTTCTACTTTCACTTTGTTCATAGCTGACTGCAAATTTAGGAAAGAAGATCAGTTTACTCCGTGACTGAAAAATGAAAGTCTATCTGGGGACCTCGGAAAATGCAGCCAAATTTTTTAATGGCCGGCTCTATTTCTAACGTTCGGGAAAACTGTTTGAGATCTTTGCTATGATCTGATCATGATTCTAAAAATAGTGACTTTACGTAGCACGCGGTTTGCACTGGCAGTTTCCAAGCTTCCCTATTTGAGCCTTTCCTAGTGGTTCCCCCTAGTACACTGAAATTGCACCTCACACTAATGTTGGGCCAGGCTCGCAAAATTAGCGTCCACCAGTAACTACTCGCTGGCACTACCCGCAAACAAGCGGAGGGCAGCCGCTTGTGAAGAGTAGTTCGCTACTCGCTACACATCGGACAGACCCCATGCCTTCGAGAGGGCGGACAGACAGCGACTCCTTCCATTGCCTACTACTTACCCCCCCCCCCCACATTGTAGCTAAATCTAGGCGCCCGTGGCGAAAATTTCTCCCCCCCCCCACCCTGTTGCGATAATTGGTTTGAAACATTAGACCTAATTAACTTACATCGCGTCAAATATGCTGCCTGCTAGAGTTCATCCATTCGCCCGCCTGCTCTTTGAATAAAATTGTGGAGTGGAGACAAAAAACGTATGGTCTTGAAGTCCGCTCACCGAGAGAGTAAAATTGTGGAGCGGAGCAACAAAAAAAAGTTAGGACCTTGGCCAGACTCCGGCAGTTTACCCCACCTGCCCAGTCGTTGACTCCCCCACCCCCCTCCCCATCCAAAATCGGCCACCTCTATTCTCACCCGGGATGAGAATAGTGCAGGCGAGTCTATTGGCTATTCTCACCCGGTGCGCGTTCACCGTTATAGCCTAGATCTTGGCCAACAAATTTTGCGTTCACCCTAAACCACAGAATTCTACACTGTGATAACAGAAAAATTGTAAAATTCTGTGCCGTGAACAAACGTTCCATTACAACTGTAGCCTACTAAAAGCATACAATTTTGTCTGTGGGTAGTGGAGAGAGTCACTGAGAGAGAGAGAGAGAAAGGAGTAGCGCGAGAACTTCCGGTCAAAACAAAATGGCGACCCGCGAAGTTCGGCTCGATTTGAAAAGTTAAATAGCCGTAGCATCTTTTACTTTTAGACAACCAAATTAATTAACTTAAATTGTGTTTTAACATAATTTTTAAACTTTGTTTTGGTCAATTTGATCGTCCACACCGATAGACAGTATTCAGAAAGAGACAGAGAGAGAGAGGGGAGGAGTAGATCTTGCGAGAACTTCCGGGCAAAACAAAATGGCCACTCACGTAGTTCGGCTCGATTCGAACAGTGTTCTTATAGCCAATGCATCTTTGAAGACGATCAAATTAGCTTACATTTGTGCTATAACGTAATTTTTTCTTGGCTTTTATCAATTTGATCATCCACACCGATAGAGTAGACAGTATTCCAAAATGAGGAAAAGCAGGTCTTGTTCGCACTGGGTGAGAATAGCCTACGCTGGCAAGTCTCACCCGGGGTGAGAGGTAGATTTCTAGATCTAGATTCTCTCTAGATCGTTTTTCTATTCTCACCCCGGATGAGAATAGCCACTTCCTCCAAAATCACCCTCCGGAAAAAAAATATCCTGGGAATGAAAGTACAAGTTAGATCTAGAAATCTAGACTACAAGGTATACATTAAGGTAATAATTAGGATGATAACTGAAAATAAAGACGGTAAGATCTAGATCTAGATCTAGAAATCTAGATCTATTTTAGATCTAGATCTAGATCTAGATTTCTTGATTAGTCAACGTTCAAATGCAAATGACATGGACATGGCGGAGGTCGAAAAACTGGAAGACCGGGTCAGACCCTGGCCATTCACATTATTTGTAATTCCTTTCTGCTTGTCAGTTTAAAACAAAATACCCCTAAAAATGTAGAACAGTTTTAAAGGCATTACAGTTGAGATATCTCACAATGTAAAATGTGAATGTTTAAAATGGGAGTGCCGGGTGAATTCAAAGCCGGTTAGTCATTCGGGGAAAGATGGCGAAAAACATGGCGACGGCGTTCGGAAGCTGGGAAGACCCAGCAGACAATTGAAGAAAAAAGCGCCAAAGCAGAAATTACTTAACATCTATTGATCTTTACAATCAAATTAACAAAGGAACTCGGACACAAAATATAGTTACCATTTTCAGTTCAGGGGAAGTTCAACGGTCTGCTGAGGTGAAGAAATAGGCAAGAGAATCTCTCACAGCGACTTGAAGTGTCGGGACGAGAGAATCTGAAGATGCGCAATTGTGTCCGCCTTTCCCTTTTATACTCCGACTTTTCAAACCACCAACGACTTTTTCGACAGCTTTTGAATTTAGCATTCTTTAAATGGCAAACCGGAAGTGAAAAAAGCGAGCGTTCTAACAGTAGCAACTTGTGGCAGGCAACCAAGTGCATACTATACCATAATAACAATGTTACAATTTCATTTTTGCTCTTCAGTAGCTTTATGTAATCTAAAAAGAGAGAAAAGAAAATTTCCTTTCAACACTAAAAAAATTGATGCCTATATAGACCTATGGGACCTTATTTCAACTTTTAATCTAAAAGGATCTTTTTAAACCTATCATGAAAAAAAAAGACGATTCTCAGGGCATTGGCTTTACCTTTTGTGTTTTCTCTTCTCAAAACCTATACCAGAGGCGAGTTCAGTCATCATTTTTCAAATTCATATGATACAAGTCATATTTCAATGTGAAAGGGTTAACCGTAGGCACTTATTGGTCATAGGGCCAACAGGGTTTTGTTTTGTTTTCCGTGTTTTTCATGCCTGTCTTTCTCCGTGTGCAGAAAAAGATTTTACAGATTTATTCTCAAATGGAAATTATTGTTAACGTGTACCTATCCAGTTGTAGATATGAATCTGAAAATAGTGTCTGAGATGTAGCGGGTACGGGCACTGTTCTGTCTGATAGAGCTTGGCGAAGAATCTAGTCGGGAACCGATTCCAAAGACTAATGTTACGAAAGAAAAGTTCCGAGTCTTTTTTACGTAAACCAGCCGTTACCATTTTCTTTAATCAGTAATATCTTCTTTTTTTATTTTTATTTTTAGAATTTATTTCGGAAACATAAAAATGGATGCTTGTAGTGTTCCGAAATCAAGGTTATCCTAAATTCTAAACGAGTTCCGGGCTACCAGGTAATCACAGGAAGATATCCCATCATTGGAAGGTAAGTAACTGGGTTCGGAGTCGATTCCTACGATTCCAAGCTTTCAATAACCGGGAACCTCGCCGCCCAGCACTACTGTCTGATGAGGTAGAGAGAAAATGGGATTTAAGCCAGCATTCACACTCCTTGAACTAAAATGTTTTACTCTTATGTTTAAAAGTAAGAAAAGTCAGACTGAAAAAAACAACTGTTTCAGATTCCCTCGAGCCTTTCACACACTAGTGTGCACGGCTTTAGTGTCAGTAATGTGTAGTGTGTTGTGTGTAATTCAGTTCTTGCAAAACCTGGCGAGATTAGAGCCCCAGTGTCATTCTAATTCTAAGGGCTCAATAAAAAGCTGGTTTTCAGTTGCAAATACGTTTGTGCACCTCCTCAACACGTAGAAAAATGGAGTTATAATTTAGAAACAATGTCTAATGGTAATAATCTCTTAAATTTGTGTACGGAAAGCGAATTCTTCTTTGTATGCAGCCAATTTTTTTGTTCAATTGTCCAGCATCACAGACTTCCTTTTATAACATTATAAATATTTGAAAGAAATGAATACTAAATTGAGTAGAAACGAATGCATGTTATGCGAGGCTTCACGAATAAGAAATACTAAAAACCTAGCTGGAAGCCCTCAAGCTGCGCACATCCATTTATAAGTTGAAGTGGAGCTTTTGAATGGATCTGCTAGAAAAGTGGCGAACTTTTCACTGCTAAAATCGGTCTCATCAACCATAGCAAAAGCCACATGAGGGTCGAACAACATCATCATGATTATTATTATCATTTTATATTATTATTATTATTGTTGTTGTTATTATTATTTTCATTATTAGTATTGTTATTATTATTGTCATTATTATTATTATTATCATTATTATTATTACTATTATTATTATCATTCTATATTGTTATTACTATATTGTTATTATTGTAAATTTTACTATCATTGTAGCTATTATGATGGATTCGTTGATTTTGGTATGACTGTAAACAACTGAGTAATGTTGTCTGGCAACAGAATTGTCTCTCCGGATACTAATAGTCAAACCGTTCACTTACATAAGGCAAAAATCGTCAACCCAACCCAGTTCAGGCTACGCTCGCGGCACCACCGCCACATTTCTGCCTCGCTTCCTAGCCCTCAACTTTATGTGTCTAGTTATGTATAAAAGGTCTATGCCTTCCGCGGACGAACTGTCACGTGGTAGGCCTAGACCTGGCAATCCTTTACATCACGTGTTACTCATGCCTGACCTTTGCAAGCAAGGCCAGGTCTCGCCGCCTGTGCTGAAACAGAGGCTGGGGGAGGAGACGAGACAGGCCAGACTACATAATTTCAGCAGAGCTTCGCGAACGTTCTTTGCAAATAGAGTGCGTCTATTCCATTGTCGGTTTAGGCTAGTTATACGGCTGTGTAAATAGGCTAAACTTACATCTCTACTCTACTGATCTTTATGGGATTTCTGTCTCCACGTCCACTCGCTGTGACGAATTTTTAATTTAGGGCCCCACCCCTTCTTTATGTGAGGGCGAAAAACCCCGCCAAAAAGAAGAAACAAACCAACGATTTAAAAATCTGGGTTACGCTGCCCTGCTAACCTGACTTGCATTAAAATTGTTCTAAAAGAAGTTCGTGGAAGATTTGACGTCGATCTACAGCGCTCTAGGGCTGAAAAATAGACTACGTACAGAGTTTTAAAAAATGTAAGCATTCAGATTTCATGCCCCTTTCAACACAATTAAAGCTGTTTTAGAGGCGAGGCTTTCGAATGTAACGTCCCTCTCCGATAATGATAAAGCCAAATAGACTGAGAGTATAGCGCTAAAAAACTCAACGAAACGATCTGCTGAGTTCAAGAGCTCCCAGTACTGGATTCGAACCAAGGCCATCCGTTCCATAGTTCAGTTTGATGCCATTGAACCGAGCTAATGGAACGCTCAAGGCAGCTGAAATACTTTATTCACCCTTCTTTCTACGCTCTCGTTGACTCATCCTGCGCAGTCTGTTAAAAATTGATTTTCTACATTTATTAGATCTATGAGTCATCTCCAGGAATAGACCATAGACTTGTATTTTTTAACACCTAGATCGAGCACTGTCATGGCTACCGCTTATTTTTATCCTTTCTCTTTACTCTCTATAATAAAAAACATTGCTATAAAATGTTGCTGTGCTGGTGTGCAGCATGGGCAGGGAAATAAAGGGCAAAATACCAGTTTCGCTTAAGGACTGGTGGGGCACCTGAGGTCTATTTTGGCTATTACAAGGCCTAGGGTGCCGATATTTGCTGTGGGACATCGTGTGTTATTGGGGATTTTAAATCGATAGTTCAAAAAGTATAATGTGAATCGGTTGCTATGGAAACGGCGGCCATATTGGATTTTGTATACCTTTTTCAATCCCATTTTATTTCCTTATTTATTAACCGATTCACTTCTCATTTGGCATGCCAACAGTACATATGTAGCTCTTAAATTTGGCTTGTTGAATTTTTGATATAGGCTTTAGTTTTTATCTTATAACAATTACAATTGAGATGTTGCAAAAAATGTGAAAAAAATGGAAAATTCATGCTTTCTAAGGCCATAAATCAAAATCTACAGCATTAATAAAAAATTCAACTAGCCAAAATTTAGAACTAGGTGTTGTTGGTATCCTGTGAAAGTTACATTAAAATTGAATAAGGAACAGAGCAGAAAAATGGGATAATATGTGAAAAAATAGAATTGTGAGAAAACAGCCGATACAGGTAAGAAAAGGCTAGACAACATGTGCTTTCGCCGAAAAACCTGACAAAAAAACACAGCTTTAGGGTGTAGCAAGGCTTACATACGTTTCTGGATATTGTTCAGGAAGTGTCCAGGTACTATAATATCTAATAAACCCAATTTACAAAATTTGACCCCCAAACACGATTTCTAGGTGCCCCACCAGCCCTTAAGTCGCAAGGGCACGCAACCCTTCCCTCCTTAACCCTTCCTTCAGTTCCAAATAAAGTACATGTAACGAAGTGTGGTCTTTAGGCGAACCACAATGACGCTTTAGTTGGCAGTCGTGTATTCATCTATAGTAATACAAGAACTGAACATTAAGACAATTAAAGCCCGTAAAGGTTTTTGCTTAGTTTTAGTAACAGTTTTACTGCACTTGCAACACAATAAGATCATATAAAGTGCCGATGGTTAGAGGTGTTACAAGAGAGTAACAAATACAAAAAGGAAGAGGAGAGATCAGAAAGATAAATGTTTGATAGGAAAGAAGGAACAAACCACCCCAGAGCACCCGCCAACCACCCACTTTTATTCTTACAGGCCTAGGTTTAACATGGTCAACTTTCAGAACAGCTGTTGTTCGGTTCTAAGCCCTACTCTATTTCACCATAATGTGCTTTTTGTTTGGTTTTTGCTTTGCTTTTTGTTTTGTTTGTTTGTTTGTTTGTTTGTTTGTTTGTGTGTTTGTTTGTTTGTTATTAGTATCACTGTCACGTCTGTATTACTGGCCATGAGAAGCGGGAAAGGTGTGTATATCCGACACAAGCACGGCGCAGAGAGTGCTTTGTGGTCACCACCATACTAGTCTGTTCATGGTCTAGGCCTGCAAAGTAAATGCTGATTCAGATTTTTTCCCCCTCAAACCTTTAAAAAAATCTTGATGTATGAAATTTAAGGTTTATTTTCAAGAAGAGTAGGAAGAGTATCTATGGCACTCGCAACGCCAAGAGGTCACATAAGTGCCAATTATTAAAAGTGTTAGAGTAACACAAAGAAAAAGGCCCAGTAAGGAAGAGGGATATTTTATTTGCTAAGGAAAAAGGAGCAAACTACACTACGAAAGCACCCGCCAAGCATCCTTTTCATCATGTGCTTTTTTTTGGTTTGTTTTTTGGTAAGTGTTTTTCGGTGCTCACAGCTGCGTAAAGTCATATGAGCGCATGGGAAACACATTATAATATTTTCAGTTGGTAGGGAATTTTGAATTTTGCCCAGGTGGCGGCCGAAGCCTGTTCTTATCGATTTTGGACCACCAAGGGATCTTTAACATGCACAACTTGCACTCT